GGACTGCAGGTGTCTGTGGTGGGGAACGAACGTGCTATTGTCCTTTACGGGGAGTAACGCGCTCACCACCACACCATGCAAGCTGATGGGTGATTGCTTGATTGCTGATGACAGAAATCGATGGAACTAGCTGAGAGACAGGCGAAACGAAGGACCCGCATGGTGTGGTGGTGAGCACGTTACTTCCCGGAAAGGACAATAGCACGTTCGTTCCCTACCACAGACACCTGCAGTCCGGAGTTCTGCAAATATCTCAGCAATATTTTCGTTGTATTTCGCTTAACACCCTGCCGTAAAAATTATAGCAGACAGAAAATAAAAAGTAAACATGCTGAAATAAACGTTCAGCTCAGCGCGATGGCGAAGAATTCACGTTCTGGAATCAGCAATCGTGGTGATCCTTTATTTAAGGGAAAGTAAATTACTGTTGTTGAATAACCTGAATCTGAACCTGAATGAATCAGATCTTATGGCTTATCTGCATTACATCGGCGTACAAAACTGAAAAAAGAAAATCTCTCTTTAACCATCACTTGGAAGAAGTGGATTTTATGACTAGAAACAGCCTTAGGCCAAGACATAAGTATAGTATATAGACATAGGCATCTACAACGCCTTAGCATCTTTCGGCTCGCTTATAAAACTATCTGCTTGCTTTAAGCATAAACTCACTTCTGAACTGATCCGATGTGCAAAAGGCCAAAAGGCTTGTCAGCAAGAAGATTTGATAAAAGTGGTTCACCATGGCCTATAATTTCTGGGTTACGACGAGGAGCTTAATTTTTGTTCCCAGCATTCCGTTGTCACTATGTTAACCTTTTCCTCACTACATATTATTTCTCTATGGTCGGGTGTGATGTGAATGCAACCACTGTGGGGCTGAGATATTTCCAAAACTAAGATCCCAATCCTGTATCGGATCCGGTTTCCCTTTCTACAGCTCAGTGTTACTAATTGCTTTTCTTTCAGCTACTTTTAACCGTAATGGTACCCGACCAGCAATTAGCCGTTAATGGGAATCATATGGAGAGCATAAAACGGCATTGAGTCTAATTAAACCGAGTCTGTAGTCGAAATCACAATGTTGGTTGTGAGAAAAGCAAAGCAACAGCCTCAGTTGGTGCAATGAATAACACGTGAGCTCCCGATAAGGGTAATCCTGGGTTCGAAGCTGGCCTAGGATTTCGAGTTTTGCGAATATCTGCTTTGAGCTTTGACTACAATTACTGTTGGGTTGCCTGCAGCGTAGTGGGTGGAGGCGCCTTCTCTTAGCCACGTGGTCCTTCGCTCGATTCCGCGCCTTCGGTCAATACTTTCATGCTTATTGTTTTTTCACTATTATCATCATTGTAATTATTTCGCGTATATTCGATTGCATCAATCGAGAGTGTAGCAAAAAAAACCTTTCAGACCTACTGCACTTCTTTAAATTCTTCATACCACCTTTGGAAAATGAAAATGAGATCAGTTTTAAGGTATAAAAGAAAGAGAATGATGACTAAGGTATTCTGTTGGATTACGACGGCTCGTGACCGCAGTTCCGCATTCGTAGATGTCGAAAACTAATCAGAGGAATCGATTATCGTAATATATCCGAACGAGAACAGATGAAAAAGAGCAGTAAGCTGCTGAATTCCTCTGGATCACACGCGATACGTATCCCACTTATCTTCGACAGTTTAGGGTATAAAACAGCATTTTTAATTTTCAATAGTAAACTAAGGTCGCAGATTCCTAGCTTGCCTTCAGAACGCCCCTCGCTTTCTACTGATCAACTCTGGAGCTAAGTCGTTCATCATGTTGATTTCCGACCTAGATAAATGTAGCTGGAGCATTCAAAGATATTCATTCCGCTGAGTGTGATTGGTGCATATGTAATCAAACTGCTCCTCATAAACATCGTTTTTTGTGAGATTTAACCGGACCAATTTCTCCATAGGATTTGTTAAAGCCCACAAGCACTCGTTCCGCCTAGATAAGGCTTGGTGTTATAAGAACGATGTCATCAGCAAAACGAGGCCTGTGTAATTGTTGACCATCGATTTTACCTACATACTGCCTCATTCCAGTGTACGCATGTCACCTTCGAGAGTAGCGATAAATAATTTTGGCGAGTTGTTGTTGCATTTTCTAAGCTCTCTGTTTGGTTCGATGTTAGCATCGTTATAGAATGGTGATATTTTTAAACCTCCTTTGATCATTGGGCTAACATAAGGTTGATGAAAAAGATAATCATGGAGAAATGGTGATGGATAATCTTTATACACTAAACTGAGGCCCCCTGGTTGTCCAAAGCTTTAATGAGTATGATGTATGTCCGGAAGACAAACAAGTTGTTATCACCGGACATTATCATTATATCCACCACCAGCATCGCGTATAAAAGGGCATCACTGAGTGAGGATGCCTCATTCGAGGAGATGGCTCACTGAGGAAGATCTGACTCGACACGAAGGCGAAGCTGCCACGTCGAGACGAATAACTAGTGTGGACCATCGACTCGGATCATCGGCTCTGAGGAAGACGAAGACGTCGAACCGTTAGCAAAAAATAAATATCATTGTCAACCTCGTGTAAGCTCATCAAAGAAAGAACGCATATTGATTAGTGATACCGAGGTTCAAGGAAAGTCGGTTTCGAAATTTTACTACGCTTTAATGAGTGTTTCTGCCTCAAATGAGCCTAAAGCTTTCCTTAAATCAAATAAGGTGAGATAGAGAAGTCTCTTGCACACTCGCCATGAAGGCTGGTCTACGTGTGGATGTGGTCCATCGTCCTGAATTCTTTGCGAAATCCTGGTTGTTCACTTGCCGTTGTTTGTCCAGTTTTCTGCCAATAGTATTGAGGATGGAAGGTGTGAAGAGTTTATAGACAATAAACAGCAGAAAAATTGCGAAATACTTACCGTTATTGAGGAGATCGGTCTTCTTGAACAATAGCACAGTCTCGCGGGTCCCCCATTGAACAGGATTCTTGCTTCACTACAGGTTTTGTGTGACAAGCCGATCCAGTGGCAAGGATTCCCTAACCATTGCACTATGCCAGCCTTAACCATAAAAAGTAATCATAGCATTTAGTGATCAGGAAATTGGTCCAAAGAGCTCTAAATCGACCCCGTATCTTAGGCCGCTTTTATCCCGATCATTGAACTGGTTGTTCAATATCACCTACGCTATGTCGTTGCTCGCAGAAGTTAATGGGAAATGGTTTCATAGCGATTTCTAATAATGACTTTTCGCAACATCTTATGACCTCCGATTTCTTGCCACTTCGTTCATAAATGTCCTCACCTGTCTGAATGACCATGCAAAACTCTGGTCGATCCATTTACTTTGAATGTTATATAGAAAATACGTTATTCACAATGCAGGCTCGGTTTTTTTAAAATAAAATGATCCTTTGTCTAGTTAAGAGATGCTCCCTTTCCGATTGCTCAAAATATGTTTTGAATTATTTGTTCGAAAAGATGCCAACCACTGTTTTAAAGACAAGAGCTATAGCGTTGGGCGCTGATCAATCTCTGAAGGATGCGCCATTCGTTTAACTCCATTCGTAGAGCCGTAGAAGAGATTTAGTGTATATTTTACCTACACAATTGTTTTTTGAGCCCTACAGGTGATGAAATTAGTGCTTTTTCTCTTGACATACAAGTCTAAACCAGTTGTCGAACCAGCTGAGCCACAATGGGGTGGGAGAGCTTTGTTTTCCCATTATGAGAGCAATCCAACGAACATTAATTCACTGCTTTTCTTCAATTAGCAAACAAGAGGTTGATATTACAGCATTTATTAGCACACAATAGCTGATGTTTCGACGGTACCGCCTTTTTTAGAGCTTGGAAAGGTCAAGTTGACATGCAATCTACCTAGTCAAACGCTTTCATAACCTTAGCAAATAAGATAAAACTTAACACATGAATTTTCGAAACCGACTCTCCTTTAACCTCGGTATTACTGATCAACATGTATTCTTTTCTTGATGAGCTTATATTTTCGGCTAACGTTTCGACGTCTTCGAATTCGAAGAGATGGTCCGCTGAGGAAGACTTGACTCAACACGAAGGCGAAGCCGCCACATAGAGACGAAGAACAAGCGTGGACCATCGACTCGGATCATCGGCTCTGATGAAGACGATGACGTCGAAACGTTAGCCGAAAATAAATACCTTTGTCAACTTCTTGTAAGCTTATCAAAGAAAGAATACATAAATTTTCATTGGCATAATACACGGAAGCATAACGGTGACCATTTTGAAGTAAAAGTCATTCTTGCGCGCACAGAAGTCCAAAACATCAGTGCGTAAAACTCTTAAGGCGTTTTAGGCTGATTCCAAAATTCCAGAAATGAACCGCAAGGAAGAGTGTCTTGTTATCAGGCGTGACCTCGCGCCATACCTCAGAATGATTCCATGACCTGACCCAGGCACATTTTTTCGCACATGTATTACTCTACACGGAAGAGAAAAGAACTCAAGAAATGTATACCGCACGAATTAAACGATGATCAAAACAAACGTCGTTTTGAATTGTCGTCTGCTCTTGTTCTGCGCAACAAAAATGACTCTGTTCTTGATCGAATTTGACGTTCGACAGGAAGTGAATTCTCTAAGACAACCGGCGACGTTCAGCTCCATGGTTGGATTTCGATCAGGCTCTACAGCACTTCCCAAAACCGAAGTTGCACCAAAAAGGTTATGGTAACTGTTTGGTGGTCTGCAGCCGGGCTGATTCATCACAGCTTATTGAAACCGGGCGAAACGATTACGGCGGAGAAGTTTTGCCAACATCAGTAAGACGCACTGTAAACTCCAACAACAACGACCGGCATTAGTCAACAGAAAAGGACCAGTCCTTCCCCACGATAACGCCCAGTCTTACGTTGCGGAACCAACGTTGAAGAAGTCGAACGAGTTGGACTAAGAAACTTTACCTCATTTTCCATATATATTTTCCAGAAGGTTTTAGATGTAGACATTCGATAACTGCAACTTCTCGCGTGGGATGGCTGTCAAGGTGTCTTATCTGATCGTCGATGTAACACTTGTGTTCCTTCAACTGGTTGTGATCATCTGCAATGGATTCATTCTCTTCTTATTCATCAGGTATGCCTAACAATGAAACAATGCGGCGTTCGTCTTATTCTGGAAGATAAGGCAGTAAAAATATCTCCCAATACAGCACACTTTTTTAAGAAAGAAAAATCTTCGGCAAAATTCCTCTTGGCTCTTGGTGTTATTTCTAATGATTACTGACTTCCTACATGCAGTGACAAGTAAGTCATTTTGTTTAGGATTCAAAAGTAACAAAACACAACAATTCCATGCTTACATTTTTCAGCTCTCCCATACACTATTTATCTTGTAAAGTCTTGGAATCCAGTATGTTTGGATTTAAGCCCATATTACGTATTGATCGCTAGCACTCCACTGATTATTCAGTTGAAGATTAACCTCACCTTAACCATATCTATTGCTGTGGAGAGAATTCTGGTAAGTTACTGGACAAAAGTGGAATCAGGTTAATTACAAGTTCCTTCAGGCATTGTCTTTCCCAGTCACGTTCCGTAACCTGCCGTTTCGCTCTTGTGCTGTGATATGTTTGTTGTTTGGGTTATTATTGGCGGCCGTGGATCTCATCCTGGAATTCTCACTGTCATCATTCAACAGAGCTCCCAACTGCGGGTCTATTGGATGTTTTTTATGTGACAACTTTCGCCACTATTGGGGAATCAGCAATATGGTTAGCTTTTTCATTCTCAAAGCCGTCAACATATCTTCTAAGTATTTGCTTCAGGTAATGGGTATTATAGCAATTATTCTGACGACATTAATCCTGTTGAGCCTAAGAGCTATTCAACGAAAGCCACAAGCACCAGGAGTTGTGAGGTCGGGAGACAGCAGAATCAAACAGGTAGTGCAAAGTGTTTCCATAGACGGAAAAGTTCTGCTTTTAATTTTCTAAATATAGGCAAATCGTACTACTGCTGGTGTCCTACTTACTTCTTTGATATTTGTGACTTTTCCAAGCATCGGCGCTGGCTTAGTTGAAATGATCGGCTTCTCTGTTTTCAAAGCTGTTGGCTCTTTCTACATTTTTGGCTTGCTCTGCGCAGGTACGTCTGTAGGTAATTTTGAGAAATAGAATTGTATCATTAAAAAAGTTCCGTAATTTTCTGTTTTAGGTGTGTTTAACGGTGTTATCTTCCTCGCTCTGAACAAGGAAATTCGAATAACGGCAAGGAAATATATCACTTGCAAAGTGCACTCGCATACCATTACTGTGTCGAACCCCAGAATTTTCTCGATAGTTAGAAGATAATCTTGCAACCTTGATGCATTGTCCTCCGGTCTGCGTAAATTTTAAGAAAAGAAGTTTTTGTGTTTCCAAGCTTAGTTTAAAGCAGAACTGCCCACAAATATGCTTGCTTGGGCATAAAAGCTTAACGAATTACGGAAAGAAATGCCAAGGAAATGCGCAATAAAGGTGTAGTCTCACACCCTACGACGCGACGACCTCAACCGGACCCGTCGTGTTCAACAATGAAATGAAAGTTTTGAAAAAAAAACACGAAAAAACCGAAAAATTAGTAATTTGGCTGATGAACCACTTCTGATTTGTAATCCTGGCCCGTTTGAGATAACATTAAACTTTGATTTACTTACTTTTTATACAAACTGTTTGAAATTTCGTGGATACCCATTAACTTCTTGCATTCGGTATGTTGTTTTGCTTCTGTCATTTGCGAATGTGTAGTGGTTTGCTTGTGGATACCGATGAAACTTAAGGATTTTGCTTCTTGCGAACGCCGAAGAGTGGCCGTCGAACTTGGGCGTTCGTGGAATACAGGGATAATGGATAAAGGATAAACCTCTCGGCGTTAATCAATCTTTGAGGGATGCCGTATGGATTCGACTTCATTAAATATCGTTTGTGATTGAATGCATATCTGGCCTGTGCAACGACTTGCGGTGGTGGCCCACTGATGTATCGAACCAGTGTCCAGACATCCTCCCAGGCAAGTCTGGTGCCAATTTTCCGATCATAGAGGGATGGAAGACTTGGTGGAGCATGGGCGCGGTGATCGATTCCACGTGTGTGTTGCAGGGCGCTTTCGACCACTGCCCTACACGCGCCTCTGCATTACCGGAATAATAACTTGCTAAAGGCTTACCCGTACTTTCATGGATTGTAGATCTCTTTTCATAGACAAACCATTAACAATTCTGCTACTATAAATAGACCAGATATTGACTAGCGTGGAATGATGTCGCACCAACCATGTGTTCAATGCACAGCACTACTAATGCTTTACAAGTGTCGCCGTCCTTCATTGAATCAGTGCACTCTTTTAGCACCTTTTCACCAGAAAGCACAACGCCGTGTGCTGATAATTTAAAGCCACACGACTCAGCTCTCCTGGAAATGGTGATTGTTATCAGATGCGTGGGCAGTGGTGGCAAGCTATCGCTGCACCTTTAACTAACAAATTTCCACAAATCGAATTACTACTGGACAGCTTGCACAATACCCTACCTAGCGCAAAATATCGGCTGACACCAAAATTTAAATGACTACCAAAGTGGATCTCATCGGTGACTCTACTCTAAAACGCAGCAATGTGATGGCTCAGAAATCCTTTGAAAATTTCGACTGTTCATAGTCAACAGCATGTGTACAGCATACTGCTTCTATCCTTGTCCCTACTGTGATACGAAATCGACTAACTCATGACCTACACCTTTTTCGTTGCCATTTCAAAGGAATGAGCAAATCACTAGATTGGCGGACTCTCCAGTGTTGAGCGAATAAAAACACAAAACTTCATCCGTAGGAAATAGGAAAAACTCAAAAGTAAGCGAGCGAAGTGGCAGAATAGCGTGAAGTACTTTTTCGCTTCACTTTTTTTTCAACGAAACGACAGTTATGCGTCTTCCATCTTTTGTGAGATTCGACACTGAAAAAAGCGATGCTTTTAGAAAACAGCTTAAAAGTGATTTGTGAAGACAACGGGGAAAGGATGCGGTGCTTTCATTCACTTCAAGGGTTCGCTATGCATTCGGCTCTATTGTCAACATCATAGGGGTGACTGAATGCCTATCTGGTCTACATTGCGGTTTTCGAAAGCTTACCGACCTTCCATATCAACATTTTTATCACAAAGAAAAATTTGGTGCTTCGCTACTTTTCTTTCCGTTGTTAGCCAAATGAACTGAATTGCTAAGCTGCAATACGTCGCCGTATTAATAAAGATGAAGCTCTAGACGTTGATCAATTCCTGAGGGACGCGCCCTGCATTCGATTTCGTTAAGCATCGTTTGGAGGTGATTGAATGCATACCTGGCATTGTATAGAGCCAGTGCTACTATCCTTCCAGACAAGTCTGGTACCAATTTTCCGACACCGGAGGAATAGAAGGCTTGGTGGGCTTTGAGCTCTGGGATCTATTCCACCTGTGTGTTGCAGGGCGCCTCCAACCACTTCGCCACATCGTTGTATTAGTGGGAGTTAAATTTATTCCTTGGCGCGCAACATAACTTGAGACACTTGCAAGTAACTCGATGCTGCCTGTGAGTTACCATGAGGTACGTCCAAACTCTAGAAACGACATACTGAACGAGAAGAATGATGTTTACTAATCTACAACAGGTAGAACATTAAAAGACAAGAGATGGGATGAGAGCGACAGAGCTATCGACAGAGCAAAAACTGTGTCCTTGAAATGTAATGTTAAGCTACATCATCACTGCAATGAACGCAACATTATTGCTGTGATAAACCGATTATTTTTATCAGTACCGTATATAATGCAAACGAGTCGAATGGACACCTTAGTTTTAGTCGTCACGTCCTAAGTCGTTTATCAACCTTTTATCCCTGCTCCCCTTCACAAACAAACCTTCTCCAACGAAGTGGGTTTCTCTTCATTTTGTGCTGCTGTTTCTTTTTTCCGACCAAGATCTTCTCAGTAATCGTTCAAATTTAAACTCACTAGAAAATCAACGACGGAAAAAACATTTGCAGTGGATACGCTTTCGTCTGTAGCAGGGAAAAATGATATGGAAATAACATATCAAAATATAACATAAAAAGAAGGCACCAACAGAATTCATAGATCAGTGTAACAACCTGGGTTCGTTTCCTTTTAAAGCACTCATTTCTTCTATCTCCCTCAAACCTGCTATGAAATCTAATTAACTTAGGGTGTCCGTGGAAACCTTGTGAAGAAGACCCTAGTAGTGCTAATGGTTGAGGCAACGTATAGTTTTGAGTTCACCTATTTGAGTCAACACTCATTGGATTTACCCACATAGGAAAGCGATTGGAGAAAAAACTCTGTAGATAAAAACAGCTGAAATTCCATGAATGCATTACGTTGACATCAAACATTATTCTCTCATCTATATTTTTTACGATCACCCTATTTATGACCTGCTCAGTTTCACACCTATTTATTCGAAACGGATGATTAATGCTTACAAATGGGAACCCGAAAGGGCGATAGTATCATGGTGATCTTCTTGTGAACTTCTCAACGCCTTCTTCTAGTGGAATTTCATGCGTCCTTAGTGGAAAATCGACTTCAAGGAAAAACGAGTTGAGTTTCAGAATGTTGAAAATTGTCTTACTAGTCGCTCTTAGCTCTAAATGTCTCACGAACCCAGTGGTTCAGCAGCAACTACAACAGCAAGAAAAACAACCATCTGCCCGTGAACAGGTCAGTATATTAGTAAGTCATATGAAGTATCGGCAAGAAAAACTAATGGATTTCTAGAAACGTCGTTAGACAATGAAAAATTAGTAGAAAAAGCAGGAAAAACAGTTTATCAAGGACTTCAACGAGGTCGAGCCTGCGTCCAACCTACACTGAACTGTCCCTTGTTACAGCTCAAACTAGTCAAACCCGCTATGAAATCCAATCCAAACTTCATGTTAGAGATAGCGCGCCAGAATTGTGCCGATTCTTGTTGAGATTAGTAATTGATCCCAGTCTATCTTTCTTCCTTTGGTGAGACCCTTTAATGCAAACTGCCAAAATTTGATTAGTTTCCACTTGTTTACCGAATTTCTAGTTGAATTTTCACTGAAATGGATAGAAAGATTTGTTAGGCTGATAGCCACTGCTCCGCCTAGTAAGATGACTCAACCTCTTACCGTAGGTGACGATGAAGTCGAACCATGAAGCCTTGGCTTGCTGCCTAAAGAGCTGAAGCAAATATGAGTTGATGGTGAATTAACGTTTTTTGCTTTGAGTCAACAAAACGAGAAGCTAAATCTTGTACTTGAAAAAAGCAGCTGTTTATTTTTCATGTATGTTTGCTTTAATAAGAGAATCTACGTCATAACGGCCCCGTTTGCAGGCCCATACCGCATATGCAGTCGATCTCTCTGCACCGACGACAGTGCTTACGTTTCAATGTATGAAACAAAATCTGTACAACGCTTTTATCAGGTATTTCAAGCCATCTCTTTTGGTAAAAGTCTTTGGTACTTCACAATTAATTAGGCTGGCAGGAGGGGCCTGTGGCACAGGGGTTGCAGATGCCTTGCAATGCACACAAGGCTCCTGGTTCGAATCCATTTCCAAGTGAATAATGTTCTCCATCGTTTCGTTATCGGTAGATTTGGTGCTAGACATATTGGAGAAGTAGAAAATCATAGAATTGAATTCTTTGGTTTGACACCGCAAGTCATTACTTATATACCAAATAAGCCAATTAGTCACATTATCTCTAACGATGCTTAGTGAAGTCTATTTCATGGCACATCCTTCAAAAATTGATGAACACCAAGAGCTTCACCTTATTTTGTCCTTTGGCATCCTGCATGTCCACGTGGTTTTTTCTCTTGTCAACTTCAAGGTCAGGTATGCCGGGACGCTTCAGCTTGGCATTAGACGCAACCTCCGATTGTTATGAATCCTACAGAGTTCCCAGGACCGACTTTCTCTTAACCTCGGCATTGGAATATGAATGTGTCGTTTTCTTGTTCAGCAATCGCGAGGTTTTTAAACAGCATACATTTACTTCCATAAAAACACAATACAATACAACGCTAGCTGACGTTTCGGCAGTATCGCCTTCTTCAGAGCCTGGAAGGGTATACTGATATACAATCTACTAGGCCAAACGCTTCAATAACACTTACAAGAAGACGAAGAACTCTCCGGCAATTACATAATCAACAACTTCTCGAAAAACCCACCGCTTTTTTCGTGACTTCCAATGAGGAAGTTTAGAACAGCTGATTATAGTCGCATGTGGTTGACGACTGCACCATCCCACATCAAAAATCGATGCGAAC